GACCTGTGGCGCTTGAACCGACCGCAAAACATAAGTGCGTTGCTTGGACTTTTCAAGATTTGCCACGCGCCGCTCAATCCATGAGGCTCACGAGGCATCAAGCGGGTCAATTTTAGGCCGCCTGAGGACTACAGGCATTTTTTGATTCGTGTCGCACGTGTCCAACAACAGTGGTAATTGCTCCCCTGCTTGTTATATTTGTGCTCGCACGCATCCTGTGTTTGTCCCAGCTGGCGCATCGTGTTGTTAAGTCGCGCGAACTTGTTCAAGTTGTACAATGTTTGGCGGGGGGCAAAAGGTGCTTCGGCATGGTCGGTCACGTTGTAGGCCCTGTAGGCGGCTTGAGTTTGCTTGTGTATTGTTGCGTTCCTGGGTTGTTTGCAGACAAGGCGCCAGCAATCAAACCACTAGGCCAGCTTCTTGCCGTTTTTGCCTGACAGCCTGAAGGAGCTAAGAGCATGAACCAAAGGCGTGACGCCAACTTGCCATCAAACCAAGTTTTGGAGCCTGGACACTGTGCGGCGCCCCTGACCAAATGGTGTTGCAATTGAGCCACATTGTTTTTTTGCTATTTCCGATGATTGAGATGGCAGTGATGCTCACACAATGTGTGTCAGGATGAATGGTTTGTCGCAACACCTTTTCACACAGGGCGTCAAGCGAAACCACATGTGTGGCTCACGAGTGCCTTGCGCCTAACAAGCCTCACAATGAGACCTTACGCTCCATTTTGAGTAACAAGGCTGCTGTGGTTGCGAACGTATGTGATGGTGTGACTTTCCTGTGTTGCATGGATTCCACTTGATGGCTCGCACTCCCAGATGTAGTTCTGATTCGGACTTTGACTAGGATTTTTCACGTCAGGGCAACACACACACATTGGCAACACGTCAGTCAGGGCACGGCGCGTCGATTGCAATAGAAAGGCTGCCATGACGGCCAGCTATGGAGGGTCAGCCTGAGCTGGGAGGCCGGAGCCCTGTTTTCTTTGCTTGTGATGTTTAGCAGTCCAGCCTTGCAGTCCAGCCTTCAGTTTCATTTGGAAGGCCAGATGATTATCTGGCCCTTTGCGTCTGTGCTCCTGTGACTCCTGTGTCTTGGCAGCATGGTGTTTGACAGCTTGAGCAATGTTGCGTGTTCAGTCTTGTCGTTGCTGCAGGCTTCATTGGCTCTGCTGCGCGTCGTTCTCATGAACAAGTCCAGCGGCGTTGCGCATTCTCACGAGCAGGCGCAATTTGGATTCTGTGCGTGCGTCCAGCGTGACTGTTCAGAGCGCAGGCCATGGCTGAGGCGGAAGAGGAGGCAGGGCGCGTCCAATGCTGTTGTAGTGACCTGCTGCAAGATTGTTCCTCGTCCCTCCGCCTGTCCTGGCAGGACCTAGTCGTAGGACATCTCACGTTTGTGTTTCGCAGGTTTGAGAGGTTGGCAGACTGGTGGTGTTTGACCGTATGCCAGTTGTGAGTCAAGGCAAAGCAAGTGCGGTGTGCCTTGCACCCGGGCCTTGCGCAGGCCTTGCGTGAATTTGCCGAAGGAAATTCAATCAGCGCTTCATTGAAGATTCATGCCGAAGGTGTGCAAGGACAGTAGTGTCCACCGCAGTCGTGTCGCATGGTGCTTTTCTAAACAGCCTTGGACTGCTGCTGGCAACGGGCGCTGGAAGTCCGCCAGGCACTCAGTCGCTCTGTTGCTTGTTCAGTGACATGGTGTCATGCCATGAAACAGCCAGAGACTGCTGCGCCTTGCCAACAGCTATGGTCAGTTGAGCCGAACAGTTCATGCTTAAGGCTGGCGCCCAGTCTGTGCGTGTAGAAAGCAGGAATAATGAGGTGAACGGGAAACCGCCAATTGGATGGAATTTGGCTTTGGAAGGGTCAAGCCTGGCTGGCGTGTCATTCCAATTGATTCTGCAAATCCTGAAAACCAATCGTGTTCTTTTTTGTGGCGAGGGCAATTTTCAGATTGTGCGGGGCAAGTGCCGTTGGCCGACGCATTGTTTACTTCCCTGCTGATCTTTGAAGTTGAAGATTGACTTGATGGCGATGTGTTCCCTTTGCCGCACAAAGAAGGTTTGGCTCTCTAGATGTGCTTCTGCGGAACTCCTCATTTGCAGGAAGTAGTAAACTTCTTTGCCTGTTTGCCAGTGACTAACGATTGACCAATGTGACAAGCGGCAAGCTGCCAGGCCTACTGCTCCGACAGCGATGTAGTGAGCGATGTAGTGCCAGGGCTTAGGGCTGCTAGGCGCAAATGGAGTTGTTGTATCTGCTTTGCTCCTTGCTTTGATAGCCGTCAAAGTCGGCCGCGCAAAAAGAACACGCGGCTCAGATCCTCACAGTTTAGAACACATGAGCGTGGTGAGTGCGGATGGATTTGCGTTGCCAGGGCCTGCCGTTCAAAATCAGCAATGTTTTCCTCAATTTCCAGCTCAGCTCCAACATTATCCAATTGTGCCCAGGCCATTCTCCATGGCCGCCATGGCGCACAGGGCGGTGGCTGTGCAACTCACGCCGCAGACTTCTGACGTGCCCCAGCTGATTCGGCCTTGCCGATAGTTCCTTCATTTGTTTTTTGCGTTGCAGTGCGCTTTGAGGCCCTGGACTTGCAGGTTGCAATTGTTTTGCGCTCAGGCTAAGGGGTGCTCGTGTGTGGCAGACGTGCTTCAGGTTAACAGTTCACGGTCATTTCAATTTCAGAAAACAGAGCCGCAGCCCCCAGACACAAGGTGAGCGGCGCTAGGGAGGATCGTTACATAGGGCTGCAGTTGAACATAAATCTGTTGGAGCGACAGCGCTGGCTTGCCAATTGTTCTTGACCTTTGCTTCAGCTTTTTGCGACGCGTTGGGAAAAACAAGTCAAGAGTTGCGAGTGTCAGCTCCTGGCCTACTATCGCTGTTGCCTTTGCGCCGTCCAAGGTATGGTGGGCGTTCCGCCTCAAGACTGCAACTGCGGCGTTGCGGGCGTCTGACATGCCGGTCACCATGCGGCCGATTCTGGCGGCGTCCTCGTGTAGCGGCCTCTGCTCAGAGGCCTTTGTGTTGAAGGCAGCTTGGCAGCGAAGAAGTTTGATCGCAGGGGCAGCCCAGCAAGCAGTGTCAGGCAGGCGGTGGCAATTTTGATAGGCTTTGACAAAGCATCTTGCAGGGGGACCGTGAAATATTTTGGCCATGAAACTAGCGTCAGCTAGCTGGAGCCCCTCTTGCTTTAGGGGTCGCTGTGAAGGAGAGAGGCTATGAAACATCAATCTTCACCCCGCCCCTCCTCCCTCGGCTCAACTCCGCCTGCGCGCCTGCAGCAAGAGTGTCTTTTGATTTGAGGTTTTTGGAGCGCGCAGCGCTGCTAAAACATGTTCTTGGAGGCTTGGCGTTTGCTGCTAGTAGACCCTGTAGACGTCAACGTTCCGGCAGCAGCTTTTTTGGTGCTTTCGCAGCAGTTCCTGATCAAACATGGGTGGTGGAAACGTTCTGAATCCGGGGCAATCCGTTTTTGGCTGCCCGAGTTGCAACGGGCCTGGTGACGGTTTTTTGCGGCTCATATGCTGCTGGCAAACGACTCCAAGGTGTTTCTGCCTCCTCGGGCGGGTTGCAGTCTGCTCTTCTTGGCGTGTGCCTTGTACGGCTGTAGGTTCTATGCTCCTAGTAGATTCTGTAGAAACGTCGACGCTTCTGCGGCCTCTCTTTTTCTGACGCACTCGAAAGGACGGTCTTGGACAGCAGTGAGGGCGCGCTGTCGAAGTTCCAGGAAGACGGGATGCGGTTTCGACGTTTCAGGTAGGCGCGAAGGACACGTCCACTTTTTCGTAGCTTGCCAAAGTTCTGGAAAACGCGCAGCGTGTTGACGGCGTTTTTGGATCTATTGGTTTCAGCGGCGGCTCGTCAGAGCGGGTTCTGCCAAGTTTGCTGTTTTCTAGAGACGTCTTGCAGTTCAGCCGCATGCGCTTGCACGCTGACGCGCGAGTTGAGCGTTGAGTTGCAGAACGCGGAGCCTAGCTTTTGCCCTCAAGTTTAATGGGTGTTTCTTGGAAACAAGGACCAACGAGGGCCGGTTGTGGCGCTTTCGTGTGCGGGGAGGGGGGGCGGCGCTTCAGCCTACGCAGGGCCTTGCTGGTAATGCTAGGGCTGCGTGTATGATAATGTGTGAGGTTGTTGCACTCTTGTTGGTGGGCTGGTGAGGTAACAGGCTCTGGGCTGGGTGGCTCCCAAGGCTGGGTGGTAGCTGTTGTTTCTTGTTATAATGGGGAGGGGCGACGCGCTGCTGGTTGGGGTGTTGCTGGTGATGTTAGAGAAGGGGTCAAGAGTAACTTCAGCGAAGAGACGAAAGCGGCGGCAATTTGTGCCCAATCCAGGAAAGTGCCAGCGAGGGCCGGTGTTGGCACTTTCGTGGGGGGGCGCGCTTTGCGGATGTTGCTGGTGATGTTAGAGAAGGGGGCAAGAGTTAATTGAGCGAAGAGACGAACGGTGATTTGTGCCCAAACCAGGAAAGTGCGAGCGAGGACTGGTTTTGGCACTTTCGTTGGGGGGGGGGGGGGCTTTGGGGATGTTGATGTTAGAGAAGGGGCTAAGAGTTACTTCAGCGAAGAGACGAAAAGAGCGGTGATTATTGTGCCCAAACCAGGAAGCCAGCGAGGGTTGGTTTTGGCACTTTCGCGGGGGGACACGGCTTTGAGGATGTTGCTGGTGATGTTAGAGAAGGGGGCGAGAGTCAATTGAGCGAAGAGACGAAAGGAGCGGTGATTTGCGCCCAAACCAGGAAAGTGCCAGCGAGGGCCGGTTGGCGCTTTCAGGGGACACGGCTTTGCAGATGTTGCTGGTGATTTTAGGAAGGGGCCAAGAGTTACTTGAGCGAAGAGACGACTGGTTTTGGCACTTTGCAGGCAGCTTGTTGGTGGTGTTGCGGGAAAGGGGGCGACAAGCCCAGGCGCTGTTACGGTCGTTACACATGTGCAAATTGAGGCGCTGGGCATCCCGTTCCAGTTGGTGGGAGCATCTGAAAAAAACAAGAACTTCCAGGAGATGCTGCTGGAGAACCACAGCTGTGAGCACTTGTGGGGAGACATGCAGGAGCAGCTTCTTGGCAACGCGTGCCAGCTGCACCCGGGCGCAGATGGCTGTGTGATGGGTGGCGGAGGCAAGGACCTGGATTTGTGGGTGATGGGCACACCGTGCCCGCCATTCAGCGAGCAGACCAACGGCCGGTTCCGGCCAGGGGCGGTGGAATCCCACCCGTTGTACCATGTGACGTTCAGCTACGCGGCGGAGGCGTTCAAGATGGGGTACAAGGCCTACGTCTTTGAGCAGGTCCCAGGGTTTGACAAGCCCTACAGCTCCATAGACAAGGAAACACCGTTCTCAAGGTTGCTTGGCGATGAATGAGTCTTTGTGGGTTCTTTGCCTCGTGTCATTGTTCACATGCGTGCGGCGCGCGGCCTGTTTGATGGCTCCGGCTCAGGGCGCAAGGCGATTAGACCAGACAAGCCCTAGAACCTGAACCCGCAATTTATGGCAGGAATCAGTTAAATTTGTTGCGATGACACCAGAAAAGGCGGGTGCTTGCAGCAAGTGTTTGATTGTTTGAGCCCGATCCAGGTGTTGAGGCTTTGCAACTTGCAGCGCGCGCTCCAAACATTGACAGTCAGTGGCTTGCGCCAATGGCACGCGCCTTACCTTGCCACCAGTTGCCACCACCTGGGGTGGCTGAGTTGAGTGGTTCTTACATTGCCGTCGTGCCTGTGGTGATGCATGGATCTGCGTGCCTTATTTCCTGGATGGGTAGACTTAGACGTGACTTGGCCAGCCCGGAGCAAGTTGAAAGAGCTGACAGCAGCAGGCCGCTTGAGTTGGGCCGTGGAGGGGGCAGCAGCAGTGGCAGTGGCAGACTTCGTGGGCGGCCGCCAGCTGGCGCAGCACTCTTTCGGAATTTCATTGCGCAGGACCTGCAGCGTTTGCAAGAAGAGGAAGAAGAAGAGCGGAAAGAAGATGAGGCCTCTCAAGGTGCCCAGCTGCCCGGTGCCAAGAGAGCTGCGCACGCGCGGAAAGTCCGCCTAGCAAATCTGAGGTTGCAGGCGCCTGAGCCTGCGCCTGAACCAGATTCAAGTGGTCGGACTCAAAATCCTGTGCTCTCAACGCAGCAGAAGCACTTGCAAGCTCGCGCAGACACTTTGTCTTGTGTGACTGACCTTCAGAGACAGTTGGTCTCAGTGGCGGAGTTGAACTCCGCTAATCTAGCCCTTCAGCAACCTGCAGCGCTAGGGGAGGAGGGAGAGAGGCAGGAAACGACGGTCGCTGCGCTCCTGACGCGCTCTTTGCCTGTCGCATCAGCCGCTGCGGCAGGGGCTATGTTACAGAGAAAGCGCGGGGCCATGCGCACGCTTCCAGTGTATGCGGCTTCAGCCTTGGTAAACGCTGCGTCCGTGCACGTGCTCTCCTTAGTCAACTGGCTGCACCGTTGCCAAGAAGCTGGGACACACCGTCTTGTTGCTGTGGTGAAGAAACGGCGGTATGACCAGACACCCCTGAGGGTCGCAGTGGATGTGTCTGGAGAACGTGTTTCTGGTCAGACAACTGCAAAAGTGATGCAGTCAGAGCTGTCAGTGACTTTGCTGGTGCAAGATCTCAGCCGGAGAGGCTCGCATGACTTTGCCACGTTTCATGTAAACTTGCCAACATGGCTTCAGGCGCTAGAGAAGACGACTACAAAGGCCTCACAGGACAGCCTTCAACAAGCTCTGCTGCCAGAGCTTGAGCGTTGGTCCCACCTTTTTGACACCAGCATTTCTTTGTCCAACACAGACCGGTTTACGGGCAACTTCCGGGCCGAGAAGGCCATGGCCAGGGACGCCCCTGGTTGGCTTTCCAACCATTATGGCTGTGATGTGCACGCGGCAGCTCGGGTGGTCAAGCGCCAACTACTGCCTGTTGACGGGCATATTTCCGGCATGATTGCTGCAGCGCTTGCCATGAGTGAAGCCGGATCTTGTCGCGTTTTCCGTGGGTGCCTTGAGCGTGTGATTGCGGACCGCCTTGTGGTTGTCGTTGAGCCCCCGCAAGAGGAACTCATGCGCCGCACCATCGCAGTGCTTGACTTGTTTCTCAAGCCCGACGCGCAGGGCAGCCAGCCCTACCGCAAGGAGCGACATCACCAGGTGCAGAAGCAGCGTGCAATTATTTTGTTCTTCTTGAACGGAAATATCAATGACGCCGCGCGTGTTGAGCACTACACTCAAGCATGGGACCTGGACAAGAGCAAGGTTCTTCGAGCAATGACCAAGTTTCTGGTGCCGGCTTTGATTCCGCATAAGCCGCCATTGTTGTCCCGAAAGTCATGGACAGGGGCAGACCATGTAGTTTCGTATTTTGGGCTCTTGACATCGTGCCACAACTTGTTCTTGCCTGCTATCCAACTTTTCACGCAGGTGCAGTCGAAGCCGGACCCCGTGTTGCCTTTTGCGTCTGAGCCAGGCCAGTCAGCTTTGCCAGCTGGTGTGTCAGGCGCGCCGAACGCCTTGGAGGATGTGCTGGTGGGCCAGCCTGGGCCTGAGCATCACGACGATGCGAAGGATGATGTGGATTGGCCATCGTCTTTGACGGGCGACCTGGACTGGAGCGCGGTAAATAGGTGCATGAGAGCACGCCTGGCCAGGTGGGCCGACTATTGCCCAGGACCTACATTGGTGACCATGAAGCTCGCAACGCTGCCTGCGTTCAGACTCCTTCACCGTCTGCTTTGGCAGGGCAGCGCAGGGTTTGAGCGCAGGCAGCGACGCAAGTTCCAGCGCAGTGGCTCACGACGCTATGTTGTGCAAGAAGCTGCCCGCATGACCTTGCTGGATGACTTTTTCAATGACACTTGGACGGGTTTCCAAACACGCTCCAGTGCAATTGCAGAGGACGCCATGCCGCACGAGTTGCAGGTTCTTCATTTTTGCATGTTGTCAGCGGCCGCGTGTGCAGCTGAGTTCTTGATAGGCATGCCTTGGAGATCGTACCCAGTGAAACTGTTTGGCATGCTTGATGGCCGCAGGGAGTGTATGACTGACCCGGACTGTGTGTTGGACCCGTTGAGCAAAGGCTTGCTGAAACAATTTGCTCCTGTTGACTCACCCGCCTTCTCTGCAGTCCTTGAAACCGTGGCCAGCAATTTTACACTTGACATCGCTGCGGTTGAAGCCAAACATGCTTCAACAAGAAGGTTGCTGCATGTTCGCCATGTGCAGACACACTTGCCAGATCTTGCAGCAATAGGGGCTGCTTGGACATGCAGGCGCAATGTGATTGACTTGCAGGAGACATGTTGCAAAACAAAGCAGGAGCCCAAGAAGGCTGCAGAGCCCAAGCAAGTGCCTTGCACCAAGCACGGTCGTGGTCCAAAGGATGAGCGGCGGGGTGGCGCTTGGAGAGCTTTTGTGCATGAATCCGTGGCAGGACATCAGTTTGGGGCATTAAAGATCAAGGCTCTAGCGCACAGGCACAAGGAGTTGCCAGCTGAGGAGCGCGCCAGGCTTCAGCAAGCTGGGAAAATTGCCACCATGCGAGGCACTTTGGGCTACGAGGCCTTTCCTGCCACAAGCTCCCAGTTGCAGAGCACGGAGTCTGCAGAGCGCTCCCTTGCAGTTGCAAACCCTGCAGACCAAGAGTCCGCTGTGCAGAGTCACATCCTGGCTGCCCGCAGTGTGTCCAAGCAAGAGCGTCAAGAATACTTGGCAAACTTGGCAGCTGAGGAAGAGGCGCTAGACGGTTTCCAGTTTGGTGAGCAGAGCGCGCAGCTGCACCCACGTGTGCTATCTGTTGCTCCTACCATGTTGTCTTCCTACCGCCCCTTTCCAGCGCCTGTGCCTTCAGTGCAGCTTCACCTTCCGGCCGAGCAGGTGGCGCAGGCATGATTTTCTCAAACTGATTGAGGGCAGTGCTGCGTGTCTTGTTTGCTAGTCTGATACGTTAACTTGCTACTTTTGGGCGTGTGTGGTAGAACTTTTGACCATTAGGCCGCTGTTTTGACCATTAGGCCGCTGTTGTTCTGTCACCAGAACAACCGTGCCAAGCACTCACCGGCGCTTTCACGTGCTTTGGTCTTAAAGGCCCCAAGCTTGCTCTGTGTTCGCAAGGTCGCGTGCGCTACTCTTTGGGGCGCAGAAACGAACTTGCCAAACACGGCGCGCTTTTGCGCCGTCACGCTTTGTGTCTTGTGTTTGTTCAGGGCTCAGGCATGTTCAGGGACACTCACAAATTCTGTTTTGCTTATGGAACTAGAAACAAGTTGAAAAGCAGAGCGCTTTGGCACTTTGACATGTTTGGGCACACATGTCGTTTTTATGGACCCAGAAACACAAGCGACAAACAGCGCGCGTTTTTGGCACATTCTTGCTTTTTCAGGCGAAAAACTTGTCCTGGCTCACAAACTCACACGATCTGCCCTGTTGTTGTTGGATCCAGTAACAAAACTGCCAAGATCAAAAACGACACGCTTTTGCGTTTAGTTCTCTACGTGTGAGTCTTAAGGCGTAAGCAAGCTTGTTCTGCGCTTAGGGCTTAGAGGCTCACGTGCTCCACGCTGTGCTAGAAAACACCGCAGTTTGGCGCCTTCACGCTTCTGGGTCTTAAGCTTGTTCTGTGCTTGAAGAAATCGTGTGTGCTGTGGATTTTTTGATCCAGAAACAAACGTGCCAACCACCGCACCTTTCAGTGCCCTTTCACGCTTTCCGGTGAAAAGCTTGTCCTGCGTTCAGCGTCTCACACACTCCGAGCCAGACACAGAAATGCCAAGCGCAGCGCGCTGCTTGATCGCGCGCAAAACCTCACGCACGCTTTTCATTGTTTGATCCAGCGGCAGAAGCGCTTTGAGTTGTTTTGTGTCAAGCTTGTCTCCCAGAGAGAAGCTTGCCAAAGCTTCTCTTGGAACTGCAACTTGTCTGGGTTTGAGTTGCAATTGCCAGCAAAGCTTCTTGCTTGAAAAAGACCGGGTTTCTCTTGCTTTTGTGAGGGCGCCCTGCCAGGCAGCTTTGGCTGATGATGTGCAGCGAACAGGATTGAAGGCTGGGCTGGCAGAGGACTGGGAGCGGCGGTCTTCCACTTTTCTACAGGACGAGGTTCCAAAGATTGACGGGAAGTTGGACCAGCCCTCAAGAGAGGGTGTCAGGGCATGAAGCATGTGTGTGCGTCTGCCTGACCACAAGCTACTGCCAACGCTACGTAGAATGGCCCACATATGACGCTGCGCAAAAGAAACACACCGCCTTTTTAGGATCTGGAGCTTGTCACTCCTTAAGCTTAGAAACAAAGTAAACCCTAGTCAGCCCTGTTGAAAGCATGTCCTGTTATGTCTGACCTTCATCCACATGTCCAAGCGCAGCTTCGTCTTGACAGACCAATACGTAGCA